AGCAGATGATGGTGGCAAATCATTGATAGATGAAGAATCATCAGAGGTATCAGGGGTCCCTACTGTACCAACAATAGGTGAGGAGGTAGCAAAGCCCTGGGATAGGGGATTGATTTGTACAAGGGGACTAGGCGTTGAGACACTATTAGATGACATATTTATTCCAGTTGATGTAATATTGGGTAGAGATGTGGAATTGAAACGTCTTCTTAATGGATTTAGTTCTTCAGAAGAACTATTAAGAGTCTCAGATCTTTTGCGTTTACTTTCCACTTGGCGACTCATAGGGTGAACATCACTCATTAAAGACACAATAGCTGATCACACTTGTTAAAGGAAACTGTTTTTCAGAGCTTTTCGAAAATTGAGAAAGTTAATATTAAGAAAATACTAGTTCTCTAACTCACGAATGTCGTATTGGCATGTTTCTTACCACACACATGTAATTTATAGCGAATTTTCCTTTACACTCTCCGCTTCTCAAAAAATCACGTCATGGCGACAGGTGTCACCGGAAGTGATCTCAATTTACTTTGAATAGTTTCAGGTGCATCGTAAAAGGGACAATGGAAACTAGAAAGGAGCCTAAGTCGGTTGGAAAGAAACAGAATGGTGCGTATATGATAAGATAAGGTACTATGCTGTGTAACTTTTTTTCTGTTAATTTTTGGGGGAATGATATTATGTCTGTCTGGAAAAATTCACGACTTGAAACACTGTATATAAAAGATGCTTTGGTTCATGGTAACAATAGAAACCTCCCCAAAGACACTTCCTTAGCAAACAGTCAATTTTTCGATTTTGTAGGACAAAGAGACACTTATCTTTAAAGAAATTGAAATCTCGGCTACAATAGGTCTGTCCCTAAAATATCAAACTGCTCCAATTAAAGTAACTTCTCAGGTACAGGCGAAAGCTCAGTCCTAGTTATTAGGTATCAATCAGGCAAGGTCTAAAGCTAACTTCCACTTGATAAAATATCTCTTCTGAATTCTCATATTAAAATATTTCAGTTGCATGTATTTTAAATATCATATACAGGGTTATTTCCAATGGCAAATATGATTTTAATTTTGCAATTTTCTACCAAATGTTTTCAGGTTTTTGAGACACACATGCTTTTGTTCAACAGAATTTGTAAAAATGTAGTACAAACATATTTAATATGTACCTAGATAAATGTTCTAGTTGAAATAGTTTTTTTAAATTTTCAATCAGGATCAGCTGATGACAAGAGAAAGGTAAGACCAAGGAGAATTCCAGACGAACAAGTTGGCCGTCAAAGATAGGAAACGTAAGGTTGGCGCCGGCGATACCGCGGGCTCAACAAATCCAGAGCTTAAGGCTGCGAGGCATGCAAAGATAGATGGAGATAAAGGGGAATCTGAAACTGGGTCTGGTGATCAGAAAAGCGGACAAAGAAAGTCAGATATAAAGTATGTATATCGAGTCCTTCGGCCAGGCGAAAGATATGAGAATGGACTGTATCCCAAGAATATACACTCGAGTATAACTATCCAACAACACGTGGAAATTAAATGGGAAGCAAATGCCGAGAATCGAGATACATTTCTTGTTGCAGAAGGCTTTGTGCCATAAAGAGGCTGGGAAAGTTTACTAATAAGCCAAATCTAGTAAGGGATGTAGTAAGGATAATCATTAGCAGACTGAAAACCAACGCCCGAGTGATAGATCTAACTAAAGTGGAAATACGCGAACGTCACATCGAGCGCTCGTCAGTGGCCTGGGGATACGCTGAAAGATTCGAGGAAGTCATCTTAGAGCCAACATCTCATGTACCTCCAGAATGTTTAAAGAAAATTGGGGAAATTCATAACAGAATTTTTAGAAAAATATAAACTGTGATCCTGAAAATGCTTCACTTCCAAAGGATGGTTAAACACAAAGTTCTATCTTATCCATCTTGGGTACTTTTTATCATCTGTAGTCTGTAAGATTGTTCCACTTTACAAAGAAATATTTTTGAAGTTTTCTTTTTTTGAAACAATGAAGAAAAAAAGGAAATTTAAAGATGACCAATTGAGAGAGAGAGAGAGAGAGAGAGAGAGAGAGAGAGAGAGAGAGAGAGAGAGATATTTCAATTCCTTCGTGACAACAAGTTATTATGTAGGAATTTCTATTGCAGTTCTGACTGTATAGTTGAAATATTTTTTTTATTTTTTTTTAGCGCATATCATTTCAGTTCAAAGTAAATAAATGTATTTTTAATGGCAGCAAAAGGAGGAGGATATCTTTATTATTTTCATATGTATTTGTTATTATATATTATGAATTTATAATTACTATATATTTATACATGAAATATATGTATAAAATATTCGATCATATGTACACACGTTATGTATATGTAAGAATGTTATATAGAATGCAAAATTCATTAAAATAAAATATATTAAATAGTACTTTTATACTAATTCGTTATCATAGAATGCTTAGGAAATACATGTTTGTTTTTTGTTGTTGTTATATTTGAATATGTAGTTCAAACAAATTTACAGAATGCCCCCCTGCTTTTAATGTAACTATTTAGTGTATGAAATGTGATTTAATATAAAACATATTGTGTCAAATATGTACACCGTATAATACGTCATTCCATATTTATGAACAAAATTAAAATCTTCGAAAATTAGATCAAGCATGAGGGTCGAGGTCAAGGGGTAAAAAAACTATAGCATGATAATAATCATCATCTTACATGATAGTACATGTCTAATATGAAAGTCCTATCCTGAAGTTATAAGGAAAGAAATATGCATGTATAATTTGAAAGCCCTATCTGTTCTTGTTCAAATTTATGACCAAGGTTAAAGTTTCTGAAAAGTGTACCAACCTTCAAGGACTATGATAGAGGACCAAAAATCATGGTATACATGTATTTAGAAAAGTCTTATGACAGGTAATACACATGTTCAATAAGAAATATTAATTTTTAGTCTGTGATGTTTTCTATTTAAAAGAGAATAGGCAGTTTTAATTTTGTTCTTTTCTTTTTGTTTTGCTTATCAGCTTTATAATAATTTATTTATTACTTTACATTACTTTACTTTATTTTTTCCGAGCCTCTCCCCTCCCTTTTGATTAATGATTTTCATGTTCATGTTTTTCAAAAAATAAATTGCCATAATATCGGGCTCGACCTTTCAAAAATTGTGAACTTTCATTTCGAGTTTTCTCAGGTTTTGATAGAAAACACATGGCTAGCATATTCAGACCGAATTATGACCAAAATATTGTTAACAATTATCATATTCAGTCTTGATGCTGTGTGACAAAGACTCCATTGAATCTATTCAGCAGTACATCATCAAGCTGACGGAATTTCTCTCTCTGTATACATGGATTGTTGACGCCTATGTATCGGTAAAACTGCTTTAAATTTTTATGCTTACAATTTGTTGAAAACTCGATAAAGACAATAAGACATGCATATTTTAAATTTTGACGTGTTTGTTTAAAAGATGGTTTTCAACATTTTTGTTCCCTATCATATATTTAAAATAAAAAAGAAAAGAAATAAAAGAGACGAAGTTACTTAATGTTACGAGTTGAGAAACATTTTTTTTTTAGTCTGTCCCACCAAGTTACTGTAAGCACTTTTCGCATAATATCTCAAAATATAATATGTTTTACGGTGTGACCGTTGGGGCGAGCGCAGTAACACTTGAAAAATTGATCAGCCACTTCAAACATCAAGCCGCGCGATACATCTCGGCTACCTGTGACGTCACACGACGTCACGGAGCTCGTCGGAGCTTACGGAGACAGCCGAGCGTCTGTTTGAAATCATAAATCTAGTGCATCATTTGGGTAAAAAAAAATTGCAGAGTTATTTTTTGCTTCTTTGAAAGGTTTTTACATACTGAAAGCCGTTTAAGCTTTACGTTATTATTTATTTATTTATTTGCGCAAAGGACATTGGGTAGTGTGATGTTATATGAGTTATTGGACTTATCCGGAATTGGTCAGGTCGACCGTTATGTGTTATGCTTATGTATGTAATAAAGATCATTCTAGAAAGCACATGGCGACTTAGTAGTCGTGTGTTGTTTGTCTCAGTAAAAAGACAATCGCAGAGGCCATAACAGGTAGTGCAGGAATTCTGGGAATGTTGCACAGAGAAATTTGGCTGACGTATGTACAGATTTCAATCCGAGTTTCCTCTGTTCTTACACGTTAGTCTATTGAGCTCGCTTTGTGAGCGTCGCTTCGCGACGCTCGCTGCGCTCGCTATAAATTTCTTGGCTTTAATAAGTGATAACTAACTTGATTCTGACATATCACTTCTTCGCTCTTATTTAACACATGCAGTTCTGTTATCAGTGTGTTTTGTTTATTTTCATTGTATATTTTAGGATTACTTCACCAAGCATCACTGGGATAACCTCCCCTCAGTGTGGACAGAGTCCCTTCTTAACACAGAACCTACAGAACTGGTGTGGCTGTTAACAGAGGAAAGGTCAGTGTCTCATACATATTTGTGTAACAGGCGGGGAAAAATGTCGGCCAGACTGAGACTCCATCCCAGGACCTTCCGCTAACCGGCAGGTGTTTTAACCACTGAGATAGCTTGCCAATATACCTGTACCCAATCCCCGTTACACATGTAACAGTGCATATCATTCATTAATGACAGAGTCCCTCTAGTATGTGTAACAAGAAAATGGAAATTAAACAAGTTAAGGCTTGAAATGATTAATTCCTATTTCATGTTTCAGTCAGGTATCCAGGGTGTGGCCTCTCTCACTTCTTGCCTTCAGACAGTGCACACGTACTTACTCACTAGCAAGGTCACAACAAGAGGTCAAAGTACAGGACCTGTCAAAACTTTCCTCACAAAGATATGTACAGGGTGAGACTAAAATCTTTTCAATCAAAAATAATACTTCATAAATTATTATAATTAAAATTAAAAATAAAATCCATCTAATTCATAACTTTTAAAAAAAAAATTATTCCAGTAGTTTTATTTTCAAAGTGACCATTTTCCTCTGATATCAAAAATGTGTATTGCAGTAAAAATCAGTCTGTGTTGTGTTATTTTTATTCAGATCAGGAAACCAGCTCAGTTGCTCAACGAGTCTCAAATCCAGACACAAAATACTATGAGTATCTCAGAAAGCATGTAAAACCAAAGAAACTTCATGAAATCAAAAGTCTTGGAAAGGTAAACTATTGTCTTATAATTAGACTTTGCTTCAACAATTCAATTATGCAGATTGTGATTCAATATTGTGGTATCATGTAATACTAATGCATTTATCTTCTAATTTCAAAAGCAAGAATTACATATGGGATATTATTTCACTTTGCAAATATTTTACATACATTAAAATTCACTTATTCTTATGTATCATTATTCACAAAATCAAGACAAGATTCGGAATTACGCAACCTACAGATTAGACAAGTTTCACTCTATTATGACGATTTTACCCTTACTTTGGACTTTTAGTAGGGTGTGACTTTCTTGGGGCTACGTAATGACGAATAATAGTAGATTCTCATTGGTTACGAAATTAATACCATCAGGAACTTAAAATTGTGGTTGACAATGATGAGACAACTTATGCCCCACCTCTGTGCCGTGATAGAACTTTTAATCGGCTATTTACTACACCAGTTGACATTCGCCAGCAATTCTTTCATATGCATATTTCAACAGTGAAGGGAAGGTGTGTAAATTTCAGAAGCTAATTAGGCAACCTCGAGAATGCCATGCCGTATTGAAAGTAAAAAATAAGCGAGTAATTCTTCTAAAATTAGGTTCTTCAGATCAGGATATTAAATTCTTTATTGACTTTTATAAATTAAACAGAGACATCACAAGCACTAAAAGTGCAATGATAAATCGTTTCACGGTCTGTGGTTTATTTTTCCACGGTTCAGTTCATGATACGTGAAACTGATATCATGGTTTTGTTAAATCGGTCGGTAATTATCCCAATCATCTGTTTTTGTTCCTTGTTTACAATTTCAAAATGGCTTCCACACGAAACATGAGGTCAATGAAACTGCAGAAACGACAAATTTGTTTCCAGCCTCATATATAATGAGTGGAAGGATGTCATCACTTTCCTAGTGTTAGTGTAATGAGCATTTGATTATTAAAACTTTTGAGTTTAGATTTTATGATGACAAATGTCTGACTTTTAACCCAATATGTCATGTACTGTGATACGTATCATATCGTGAACTGAATACTGTGACACGTTTGGTATCATGGGGTAGGTGTATTGTTGCTCCTCTAACAAGCACCCTCAGGTTACAAACCCAGTCAGAGGCCTTGCAATTTGTGATGTCACCCTTGTTAACAGTCCTGACCATAATTATATATATTATAACCACAACATACAATCAGTGATTTTAATGACTTTATTCCTACAGATTTGGGGCCCGTTTCATCAAAGGTCGTACGCCCAGTCGTAGCGCTACGCCGGTGTAAAGTCGGGACTAGCACGAAGAGTTGCGTTTCATTAGAAAGCGTATCGTTACGCCTGACTAAATTTAAGCCAGAATTTTACGTCTACCCATGGGTAGGCGTAAGTTCGGGCGTAAAGTTTAAATCAAGCAATTTTACTCATTTTAAAACAAGTTAGAGAGTTCTAAAGAAAAAGTACAGTTCTAAGAAGTCTTTTAAATAAAAACAATCTGCATTATTTAATTATACGTATACTATGAAGAGGGGGAGGGGCTGCTACAACCACTTGGGGACGTAGTTGATTGGAGTAATACCATGTTTAATTTTTTAATAATTTTTTTTCTGAGAAGAAAAGATTGTCTTATTAGAGATTTCTTCGACCACATTTCTTACGTATTGACAATGCATTCATACCCATTTGATTATTGTATTGTATGTATAAGTTATTGTAAATCGTCTATACATATACATTGTATTACTATATTTATTTACACCAGCTTGAAAAGTGGGAGGGTATGTAGTAATTGGGGTGTCCGTCCGTCTGCTACGCTTTGGGGTACCCATCTCTTATCCGCATCTCCACTCATACTTTTGAATGAAATTTGATGAGACTTTCACAGTCTAATCATTATACATATTGTCATTGTGCCTTATTTTACTTTTAGATCCGACACATATTTTGGGTTTCCCATAGCAAAACATGGACACTGCCGTTATATTCATATAGGAGGCGGGGTTTATCATTTTTGTGAGGTCTTTGCTCACAGTACCTCTAGTTATATATTCTGTTTCATTCACTAAAAAGCGACCCATTAAAATTGTCTATTTTAAAAGAAAAATTCCCCAAAATATATTTTAAAAAATAATTGATTTCAAAAGCACAGTACTCCTCTTTCTGGTTATTTTCAACATTTAAGAAAAAAAACTTTTCTTGAAACCAAATAGATTTTTTTATCATGTTTGAGGAGTCAATTTCTTATTTACTTCTCGTCCACGTGCGTGAATCTAGAGGGATTCGTAGAGAGGGTCCAAAACCTCCCGAATTTGCAAATTAATGAACGTTAAACGTGTTAAATGTACAGAGTTAGGGTAAAGTAATTATTTGTTCTAGATATCTGGGACAAGTGAAGTCCCCAGCGAATCAAAGACGGAACCCGGGGAGGGTGGTCTCATAGACAATAAAAGATTTTAAATGGGGAAAATATTAAATTTATTACTTTTATTATATCGACGTAAGACGGTGATATTTATACATTGTTATACGCATTAAGTTCAAGATATGAATTATTCCTAAAGATATTTTTTTTCCTCAGAAAAACATTGATGCAGTTCTAAGACATCTTTATTTTTCATGAATTCGTCCAAAAGAGTCAAACTTACATAGTATTAGATAATCTGAGCGCATATATAGCATATATAAAATGAACATATACATGTTTTTGATTTCCCGCATAACTTAATTTTTTATGAAAAAACAAAATAAAGAGTAACGTAACTTTATTTTAAAGACAGAAAACAGACAAGCAGAGAATTTCTTTAAGAATATCATTGTATTAATTTCTCTCTCTCTCTCTCTCTCTCTCCGTACTTGTAAAACGGTAGATTAAATTCAAGCTGCAGATAGTAATTTTTCTATGACAGCATGTACCTAGAGTCTAGTATTTCTGAATTATTTTATGAACCTAAATTTGTGCCATTTATATAATCAATAACAATATTATAGTAAATCATTTGATTGAATTGATAAAAGTTTAAAAGACTTAGAAAGGATTGTTTTACATGTACCTTTAGTAAGTAGTAAACGTGTAAAAATTATTTCTTGATTCAAAATGTACACATATGTAAACCGTTGCATTTTAATACATTATTTTTACTTGCAAGTATACATTTCTTATGAAAATAAAGTTTTAAAATCTTATTCTGTCTCAAACTCAATTATTAGTATTTATCAGTAGAATCAGTATTTATCGAATCATGTAATAGATTATCAAAGGCTAAGTCATTAACCTGTATCAATTTCGGGAAGAGAGGGGGAGGCTGTATTAGGGACCAGGCAAAATTTATCACAATGATGGGACCAGTTCAAAACAAAATTCTGATTTTAGAAAAGTACGTGTCCCATGGCATTCTTTTTTTTCAAATATCGATGAAAGTTTTTTTATTTGTTCATTTTCATACTTTGTAATATTTTCCTTTCAATTGAAGAAGTATCTTGCCGTTTGTATCCCTAGTTTGAGTTTCAAAGATATGACTTTTTTCGAAACAAAAATTAAACATAATGAATATTTCTTTTGTGTAAAGTACTGTAACTCATTGAAAAAAAAGTATGTGTCCCATGTGTACTTAATGCTAAAAATGTTTCTATCCCATGATTTTCTTCCATGAAAAAACTCATTATTCCATGCCTGTTTGTATCGGTCTGATCACTGTGATAAATTTTGCCTGGTCCTTAATTAAAATTCCAAAATAAAAAGTTTAGCTTAATTCTGAAATACATGCACGGTCCTTTTCTTCCTTTCAATTTATAAGACTTTTTAGCTCTTCTGAGCCAAAGGCTCAAAGAGCTAATGCTATGGCCATTTGTGCGGTGTGCGGTGTGCGTTAACTTTTTAGAATATGGGCCATAACTCAAGAACCCCTTGGCCAATCAAAGTCAAATTTGTCACAGGGTATCCTTGGCCCAAGGGCTACCATTTATACTAAATTAAGGGTTGGGACCCTAAAACAAGGGGAGATAATCAGGAAAACAAAACCAAAAGTACTGGTTGCAAAAAAATCTTCTTCTCCAGAACCACCAGGCAGATTTTCACCAAACTTACATACAATGATCAGGATATGTTGAAGATTAAAAATTGTTCAAGGCATGACCCTGGGGCAAAGGGCGTGGTCTCAAGGTCGCTTCAAAGTTGACCTAAATTTACAATTAATGAAAATGTCTATATTTTGCTTACTATAAGGACTAGGATCATCAAATCTTGTAAGTAGATGCATCTTAGGACTTCACATCATGTTAACTCAAAAGTAGGTCACAGTGACCTACTTTTTTAATTTTGCGGGGATTTGTTTTCAAATTGATTTTAAGGCATATTTAGGACACTTTAAGGCCTATGATCATCAAACTTTGTCAGTTGATGCATCTTGGGTCCTTGAACAACGTCAACTTAAAAGTAGGTCACCGTGACCTACTTTTTGAACTTTATGACTTATTCTTTTTAAAACATTTCATCCCATTATTTCAGACACTGAGAGGGTTAGAATCATCAAATCTTGTAAGTTGCTGCATCTTGGGACCTTAAAACATATTTAAGTAAAAGTAGGTCACTGTGACCTACTTTTAGAATTTTGCAGGCATTTGTTTTCAAATTGTTTAAAAGGCATATTTTGATTACCTTCAGACCAATGATCATCAAACTTGGTCAGCTGATGCGTCTTGGGACTCTGAAAAATGTCGACCAAAATGTAGGTCACTGTGACCTACTTTCGACATTTTATGGCTATATTTCAGTATCTCAGGTATTTATTGGCTTAGAATCATCAAACTTTGTGAGTTGATGCATCTTGGGTTTTCGGAGAGTGACGACCAAAAATTAGGTCACGGTGACCTACTTTCAATATTTTATGGCTATATTTATGTATCTCCAGTACTTATCAGCTTATAATCATCAAACTTTGTCAGTTGATGGCGCAATGCAACGTTGTCAAGGACTTAGTCCTGCGACTAAGCGTATCGTTTACGACTAGACTTACGCCACTTGGTGAAACGCAAATTACGCCAGACTAAATTTTGGCGTAAGTCCCGGAAGTACGCCTAAGTTAAGGCTTAAATCTACGACCTTTGATGAAACGGGCACCTGATCTCAATTTTCTAGGCTTTAAGGTTTCTTGGAGATGCATGTGATTGTGAGCATATTGTGGATGTGGGAGCAGGTCAAGGTCATTTGTCTAGGTTTTTGACCTTCCAGCACGGGTTCAAGGTCACAACAGTAGAAGCTGAAGGATGCCATGCCCCTAAAGCACAGAAATATGACAGGTAAATGGTAAATGTTAATATCATGGTTGAGCCTCTTTCATCTGGAAGAAGGTGTTCCTCAGCAATTTGTTCAATTAAATAAATTAAGCATCCAGATTTCTGGAATTTTCTTCAGAAAGTGCTTGAGTATTCTTAAAACGAAATTTTGTTCCCCATAAATATTGTCCAGATGGTGAGGCCTCTGAGCTAATGAGGTGGTCGGGGATCCTTACTCCTCCTTGTCACCTGATCCTACCTTAAATTCTGAGATCCATTAACAATCACTTTCATATTGTAAATTGTGGCCTAGTATTTAAAGTATAGTCATATATACAGGTTTGTTGTGCAAACTGCTTTCACTATTTAATACCAGTCTTTTATTCTGTTTTCTAACGTTTCATATAAATTATAGGCGATTCTTCATTTATCTTGATTTCTTTTTATGCGCCCGGATCGAAAGATCTGAGGCGTATATTGTTTTTGTCCTGTCTGTCTGTCTGTTTGTCTGCAAACTTTAACCTTCGCCATAACTTTTGAACCATGAACGGTTGAGACTTCATATTTGGTATGCCCACTCCGCCAATAAAGCTCTTTCAAATGACACCAAGGCCAATGACCTTATGACCTTGACTGTGACCTAGATGCTAAAAATAGGGATTTTTTGCAAACTTTAACCTTTGTCATAGCTTTTGAACCATAAAAGATAGAGACTTCATATTTAGTATACATACAACACTTACTAAGCTTTTTCAAAAGACACCATAGTCAATGACCATGTGACCTTGACTGTGACCTATAAGCTTAATATAGCTCTTTTGATGGCAAACTTTAACCTTTGCAATAACTTTTGAACGAAGAAAGACAGAGACTTTGTATTTGGCATGCATACTTCACTAATGAAGCCCTTTCACACGACACCAATGTCAATGACCTTGTGACCGTGACTGTATCTTATATGCTAAAAATAGCTTTTTTGAACCTTCACCATAACTTTTGAACCATGACAGATTGAGACTTCATATTTGGTATGCATACTTCACTAATCAAGATCTTTCAAATGACTCCAAGATAAATGACCTTGTGACCTTGACTGTGACCTTTATGCTAAAAATATGTTTTTTAACTTTATTGCCGCCAGGCGCATAGTGTTTCACAAACACATCTTGTTTTTCTGTTAAGAATTTTAATGATTGTCTAATTTTTTCATGATAGTGAAGTCTTTATTATATTATAATAAATAAAGTAATTATTACTTTATTTTTCCCTAGAGATGCTCACAGACAGATCTCAAAGGTAAGCACTTTTTTTTATGTCTGATTTCAGAAGTTTCATACATCCAACATGTCCAAATACAGGTAAACTTCGGTATCTCGACATCGGATATGTCGACAACCTGGGATATGTCGACGTCTGTGCATGGCCCCGGCATTATTTACTATATAAATGATTTGCAATGATTTACTGTATATTGACTCAAAGTTTGGCTTTTCTGATCTACCTCTTTGATTATACCATGTAAAGCATGGCTTAAAAAATAGATTAATTAATTTTATTAAACTTTTCCTGTACTCACACTTGTTTCAATGGGAAACACTCTTTACTCCTAAAATTCCCTGTGATGTGGATATAAGCAAACCATTGCAATCTGAAAGTCAAATCTGAAAGTGTATAAGATTTGCTTTCTATTCATCATGCTTTCATCAGGTGTATCATATTTGTTATATGTGCCTCTATTTGAGACTATTAAAAATTGGTTATTATTCTTATTTATCTATTATACCTTATATGTGTCAAAAAATTTGAATCGTAATTGGTTATGCAGGGTAAAGGTCACACTGAGACTGAAAGTGAGACTGATCTTCCTTGTCATGTGACCTGTTACATCACAGCAGACACAACACAGGGGAAGTTCCTAGACATTATACAGGAGTCCTTCAACAGGTCTAAGGTTGGCAGCTATTGTAAAGCGGAAGGTGACGAAGGGTTTACAAGAGAGACTACACAACATGGACTTACTAGTGGTTCAAAGATAGACGTGATACAATCTGCATCATTAGATGACCAAAAACATTTTAAAAGTTGTGGTAGGGAATCTAATAAAAAACCCAAACTGACAAGCACTGATATTAAATGTGATAATCAAGAGAAAGATTTGACTTCTCCTGAAAGTGTTCAGAGTAAAAGTAATTCTTGTGGGCATATTCCAAGCAGCAGTCAATTGTTTTTTTCAAACAATTTCTGTGATAACTGTAAAAAATATTCATCTTCTAAAGAGATTAGCATATGTGATAGTGATATAAAGACACGACTGGAGACTGGAGAAAATTCTGGATTTATGTGTGATAGTAAATCTGCTGAATGCACTGATAGCCTAGACATGCCAGGATCAGATGATCAGATATACCAGACTGAGGAAGGTGATTCTTTAAATGGAGAACTCCATGGGAAGACCCCTCCAGCTAGACAGCAGTTTCTCCTGACTGGACTGCATGCCTGCGGAGATCTAACTCCCACAATGCTCAGAGTGTTCACTTCCTGTCCAGACATAGTGGGACTGGCGTCTGTCGGCTGCTGTTATATGAAATTGTCTACTTCACTGTAAGTAATGGTAATGTGTTAAGATTTCATTCCTACATTTCTTTAATTTTTGATTGGAGTAATATGATTTGGAGCTTATATATTTTTTTCTCAGTCGGAGAGAAGAATCAGTGAAAATTGATGAAGTTAAAAGTTTGAATACCCTGTTACATGTACAAGTGAATTATATTCACATTAAACGATTACAAAAGTGTTTTTTTTTTAAATATTTACTTTGTAAACGAAGTTATTTGAATTGATTTTTTCTGACTTTGCTTTTTAGGAACAGTAAATCAGACCATGTGGGGTACCCCATGAGTGATTTTGTAACCAGGTTACCACACTCGGTTCTTAGTTATGAAGCCCGAGAGATGGCCTGTCATTTTGCAGATTCCTACATCCAAAGATTGAAAGGTAAATTGACAAAATTCAAGTACACTGTATGTGCAGCACTGTTAAGGCCTACTATGAGAAATCAACAGAAAATAGATGAGCAAAAAAGGGGAATTTTTTTAAAACTGAATTTATTTTAATTAAGCTGTTTTATTATCACAGAACTTAAATACTTATGGAAAAAGCATAGTATAACCCACTCTGCACTGTATGAAGTTTGTTCCCATAGATGGACAGTGACGTGATGAATGCATAGTTTGTGTACTGAATGTAGGTCATTAACAAATTTCAATATCGCAAGGGCATACCCTATTTGAAATTAAAAATTCAAGCTATTAATTCCATCTGCATGCTTTGTAGTTTCTGAAAAGTGCTGCTGCTTTGAATAGAATTCGTGTTTTAATAGTCAAATTTTCAGGTAAATAAGCCAGTGTTGAAATATGTTTGACTTTTACCAAATATTTCGTGTACTTATAAAATCACGCCCTCGATTTAAAGAAAGCAGCAGCACTTTTCAAGTTAAGGAAAATATCTTTTATCTAAATTCAAAAAATAGTTGAGATCTATGCAGTGTATGCCCTTGCGAAAGTACGATTTTATGAGGTATCTCGATGTAAAATATACCTAACCTGTACATAAAAACACGACATAATTAATAAAATACATTCTCTTGATAGTTAATGAATAATCGCACTAAACAAAGGATATACATTGGTATTAATTGACTATTTAAAACCTAGGAGTGCAACGATACGGCTACCCCACGATACGATACGTATCACGGTATTCAGTTCACGGTATGATACGTATCACGATACATGACATATTGGGTTAAAAAGTCAGACGTTTGTTATCATATACTTTAAACTCAAAAGTTTTATAAAATGCTTACTACACTAATACTAGGAAAGTGGTATCATCCTTCGACCCGTTAAATATGAGACTGGAAACAAGTTTATTTGTCATTTCTGCAGTTTCATTGACCTCATGTTTCGCGCAGAAGCCATTTTGAAAATGTAAATGACGAACCAAAATGGACGATTCGGATAATTACGGACCAATTGAACCGAACCGTAATATCAGTTTCCTGTATCGTGAACCAAACGTGGAAAAATAAACCGCGGTATACCGTCATTCGGTTTATCGTTGCACTCTTATTAAAACCTGTAAATACTATTCTGTTTAATAATAAAGCCCATTTCTCATTGTTAAAAAATTCCCCAATCTGCCTCTCAAAGCACATGAAATATGTCATTTTTACCAAAATGACGTCATGTTTACAAGTTCATCGCGATCAGTGCTTTGTTTATAACCAGCTACATGGGATTTACTGTAAATGTATTATATTTGGCGTGTACGATATTTGGCGGAAATTGAATTTTCAAAAAGTTGGCGTAGATTTGATTTAGCGCTTTTTGAATGTGCGTTACATAAACCTTTATACACACAGCATTTAGCGATGTACTTGATTTAGCGGAGACTGCTTTCCGCGAAAGGCGCTAAAAAGAATACACAGCCAAATGTAATACGTTTACAGTAACTAGCAAGTTTTTTTAATGCCTTGATAAGTTTTAATGTTGTTTATTATGCTTATACAGTTAAAAGTTGCAAACTATTTCATTTTCAAGTATTATGAGAAATACATAAAAGTAATATTTTTGTGTGACGTCACAGTAAACTTTTCCGGTATAAATTAGGCCCGCCCCCTTTTTCAAGCCTTAGCAATGCTGTGTGGAGGCAGTAGTCAGTAATTTAAAGCCATCACAACTATTTTTTGAGTAACGTTTCACAGATAGCTTCAATGGCACAGTGTTGGCAAATGTATTGATAATGCAAATAGTTGCTTTACAGTAATTTCTCCCCATATTTACCTAACGTGATGATTCAATTTTATTTTTTACCCAATGTTCTCATAGAAAAGTATCACTAGTTTTTTTAATGGGTCTTGTTCATCCCCAGGCCTATGTCAATTTTTTTTTTATTATTCCCTTAGATAACCCACCCTCTCTCAAGCTACACTGTTACAGAGCTGCCTTACAGTGGATAATTCTACATATAAAACCTGATTTTGTAACTGGGGCACAGAAATTTACCATTAGAAAAGCTGAAAAACTGACATTCAAGCAGTAAGTGTAAATTCAAATACCTGTACCGATCAGAATATTTAATTGTTAATCCTTTTTAGAAATAAAAACCAAATGAATTTTTTATTCTTACAGATATGTAAGCCTTGGGTTACAGAGGCTTGGTTTGAACTGTGAAGTGTCAGAGGAATTTCTGGCTGGAGCCACAGAGCTCCTACGTGAGTGGAGACAAGTGGTGACCTTCTACAGTCTCCGTCTGAGTCTGAGTCCAGTGGTGGAGACCCTGCTGTTACTGGACAGACAGGTGTACTTATATGAACAAGGTCAGTACCTATACAGACAGAGAGACAGACAAATAGACAGACAGGTGTACTTATATGAACAAGGTCAGTGTCTATACAGACAAGAGAGAC